ATTTTTTATTTCGCTTAATAATAAAAATCAAAATTGGACGTTTCGTCTAATAACTATTTTAATAACTATTTATTAAATAGGTTCACAGTAGAGACAGTAATTCATGACTTTTACTCTTTTTCCCATTTCATTATCAATCAGTATTTATACAGGGTGTTTCAGATTTAAACGGACACAGCTTAATGGGAGGTAGAGTACAGTTAGCTGAGTTCAAAACACCCCTATAATTAGCCTTTAATCTTACTCGTTTCTGAGATATAGGGTGTTTTATGACTTTATGCCAAAACTAAAATCGGCCATTTTGTTTGAACAGCTAAACTCAACTCAAACAAATAATGATTGAGAGTGAACCGTGTTGTCATATCTCAATTTTACCTTACTAGTTATTAGCAGAATCAAAATAGAGTAAGTAGTAGAGTTGTAAGTTGTGCCAAATTATAGATAATATACAATCATAGTACTAATAAAAGATATTAATTATAACAAAAATCAGTAATGAGTAATACTTATACATTTCTTGATCATTTAAAATGAATTATTTTATGGATTGTTCAGTATTTGTTACAACTAATGGCATCGGTGTACGGAGCGATATTTGTGTCTTTGTCTGTTACGCGTAAAATCCATCTCGTCGATGACGTTCTCAGTAGTGTATTTCTAACCACGAGCGTAACATCGGGTTATGAATTATACGGTGTGAATTGTAAGTTTTACAGTTAAGTTAGTAAGTAATCGACGTGTTGTAAGAACAATTGGTGAAAATATTAGTGCTAATAAGTATTTAAACATTAAATAATAATATTTCTACACCGTTCTAAAACTATGCAAAAAATGTAAGACATTGAAGGGCCTTCAACGTCGAAAAAGGTAAAACGGTCGAAGTCTCGGTCGCTAAGTGAAAAACAAATTGTACTTCGAGTATTTCACTGTCTTGAAAGAGATCATCAGCGACCAAAGATAACTTAGTGCATATGTGCTGTAATTCTACGGATGTACCTCTGAATAACCAACCGGGCGTTCCAACATCATTAACTTCCACAATTACAAAAGATAAATTAGTTGATATGTGCTCTGATTATACGGGTGTACCAAAATCATCAGTTTACAAAATACTAAGAGAAAACAAAATTCATGGGGAAGTACAAACTTTGATGATAGCGGTAGTAGCAGTGACGAATCTGAGGTTGAATATTAGAAGAAAATTTGTACACAAAAAGAAGTCTATATATTTAGGTATAATTTTTATTTTTACCATTCACTATTACCATTTAGAAATTATTATATAAATTTGTATTTTTAATTCCTGTACACAGACATGAACAATGTCTCAGCAGGATACAAATGTTTATTTATTTAATTATTATTGTATCAATTTGTACATTGTTACATAAATTTGAAATAAACATTATTATTATTATGTTTGGCGGTCAAGAAAACATAATCCTGTAGGTTATATCCAAACTAATTATCTTACTTAGGGATTTCGGAAATGATAGGTGCGTGTAAACTTTTATGATTTAAGTACCAATCAAATAGTAATTTAAGCTTTATAATGTCTTTTAATGTTGGCCGAACCCAATTAGGGTTTCTTGGGTAAGGCTGGCTAGTTTCGAGGAACTGCAGGTAAACCGGGAGATATATATATATATATATATATATATATATATATATATATATATATATATATATATATATATATATATAGAGGTATGCTTTATTATAATAATATAATATAAAAAGATTAAAAAATATAAAAATTTAAAAATAACTAAACAAAACAAAATAAAAATATCAATTGCATTGGATATGCAATATCCGTCATTATGATTTTAATTTAAAATTTAAGTAATACTTCTGTATGTGTAACCCAAGAAAAAACTTAAGAGACAGTTCCTTACTGACTTCGGCCGCGACATAATATATAAATATACGTTAATTTGTGAAATAAAGTTAAATTCATTATTAAAATAGTAAAATTGATAATATTGCTTCTGTCACCAAACCAACCCCTGATTAGGTATCTTTCTTATTTTTAATTTGAAATATATATTGTGATTTTTATTAATATTCTTAATTTATTTGGTTCCTACTATAATTACCACAATTATTACTCCGTTTTCATAAAGCCCCACTAATGACTACAACGATTAGGTAAATTACGATATTGCAAAGTTTTCATGAAATAAATAAAAGAAATTGTATGAATATTTTAAATAATTGTACCCTCTCAAAAATAAAAAGCACGCCTCCGATTTGGTCGTATTTCTACCTGCTTTCACTCTCAATCATTATTTGTTTGAGTTTAGAGTTATTTTGATAAAATTTTGTACAAAAGTTACACTCTCTTAGGTTAATGAAAACAACAATTCAATTTTAAAAAATTCCAGGACCGGACTCTCTTTTTTTATATTGCTCTTCTTAGCTAGAATATCACCCTGTATATCGGATTTTAATAAATGTTACTGCACATTTAAATAGTACATGGAATAACAAATGAAATAATGTAATAATATTTAATGGCACCATCTTGATGTTCTTACAATAAATTTTTATAATGGCGACTACATTATTATAAATCAGTATTTACAAAATTAAAATCAAATATTTTACCCTGTACTTTTAAAACTCTACACAACTTAGGTACCATCTTCATTTATTTTTAACTACTGCATTTTTCAATAAGAAATTGAACATCTACACAGGACCGGGCTCACTTTATTTGATAAAGTAACAGAACAAACTAACAGAAACAAATAATTAATTTAAACTAAAGTAAATTTTCAAAATGAACACCGTGAACATCAATACACCTCTGCGAACGTTTTAACAGGTTTTTCACTGATTTGTAAATTATTTCCGGTTAATTTCTAATGTTGTTGCATACATTATTAATTTTCCCCAATAACTGTGCTCGGGTATTCATTTCTTCGTTGTACACCTCTGATTTAAGGTAGCCCCGTAAAATATAATCTAGAGGTGTTAGATCTGGAGATCTTGGTGGCCAAGCATAGTTAAATCATCGTTTCCCAAATGAGTTAAAATATGCCAAACATTTTCTGACCGAATATATTCGGCCAGTGGTAAATACTCATAATTTTATTTCAAATACCTCAAGAACGTTTCTTAAGGTAAATTCCCTCCGGCCTAAGGCGTCCGGAAATTACCAAGCAACGTGCCTTCGGTATTTGAAAAAAAAATATTTCGAATTATCATTGTCCTTGAAATATTACCTCTGATAATTTTATTCAAATTTGTATCAAAAGTGTCATTGTTAGTGTGGATCAGAATCTAGAAAATCCTTGGATCTCAACAGGTGTAGATAATTTAATAACGCTGTCTAAAACAATTATTGACAAACATAAAATTTCAGAACAACATACGTATTTATCATTTGTTGTGAAAACAAAATATACAGGGTAACGTTAGATAATGACTAGTTTTAATATTTCTAAACGTAATGAACAAGTTAAAAAAACATATTTTTAGGAAGACAAGAATTAGCATTTAGTGATGGGTCATTTCAGTATATTTTGTCTAATTTTTAAGCACGTATGATGACAAATTTTCAGAATTTTTAAAAAGTCCTATTTTTTTTTCCGAAAACATTTTAATATGATTTATTTCTATTAATAGTATACTAGAACATAATATAGCAATATAAATAAATCAAGCAATTTGATTTTCATTTTATTTAGAATAAATGAAACTACCAATATAAGCTGTAAATCACAGTTATATCTGATTTATGCTAGTTACTAAATGAAAATTAAAACAAACTAATTTATTGGAGAAAAAGGAAAACCTCCTAGATGTATTCATGTTTATAATAAAAATGGCGTTGGGAATATAGGTGATAAAGTATAAGTAGCAATCAAAGGCGAGAAGAAATAAGGTATTCTAGTGGGATTAAAGCAGAATCAAAAAACAAAAGTGCCAAAATTCGACAGTAATAATCTAGTTTTATGATAGACGTTATAAATTAATGTTATCAGTTGTATAGTTATTGTAAAAGTTGAGTTGAAATATATAAAGATTCCAAAAAAAATAGTTTTCTTAAATTCAAAACACACGACACTTCACTAAAGTAAATATCCAATGTAATCCATTGAATGTGAATATTTAATTAAAAATAAAACATAAATATATTTTCTCCCAACAAAAATTGTCAGACAAATTTTAACAACTGAAATCTTAAAAAAAATTAAAATATTTCTAATTATATTTAGTAGAACCCAAAAATTATTTGTTATCATTATGCATTTCCTATTACATCTAATCTCTTTTAGTATCTCATAAAATGATTGTTTCGTGTTACATACATTTTTACAGTGTTCAAGTTACTAACATTAACCGATTAATGGCGATAAAAATGTCTAGTTTTCTGAAGTAATGATGACAACAGCTAACAGCTTTGAAAATTAACGGCATTAACCGAAAAATTTATAAATTAATTATATTTACCGTAACTTATATTCAGGGACCAATTCCCGCGGCCCGGACTGAAATGGGGGCCCAGCAACAGGATATTTTTTGTTTTGTATGAGAAATTCGACACAAAACGAGAGGGGGAAGTTTTTGGTTAGGGTTTTTTTGAGATAAATCAACTCAAGTATAGCAGGAAAAGTTTCTGCTTGCAGCCTTTTTTTTGTTTTTTTTTTTTGTTTTTTTTTTGTTTTTTTTTTGTTATAGAAAAAGCAATTCAAACTGAGGAGAAAAGAAAAAGTTTCTGCTTGAGGACCTTTTTTTTTAGACAACTCAATTCAAATGGAAAACAATACATTATGATTACTGTGTTACAGGACGACTAACCCACTGCCGACCGGTTACTAGCAAAGTCGACACTACATCCTTTTCTCTCCTGTACATGCGAACATCATTTACTATTCACTCCAACACAAGCAAAGCTGGACGAAGCTTTGATCTTGCCAATAATGTATTCTATAAATATTTATTAAATAATCTGGAACTCTATTAACTTAAATAATGGTTCCTAAACTTACGTTTTGAATGATGAATATTTTTAGTCCGCGGTTTTTCCAAAAATTTGTTACGAGTGTTAATAGCTTTCCATGGATTCAATATTTCAGGTGCTAAAAAATAAATAATCCTTAAAATATTAACTCAATGTAATACAACTTTTTTGGATTAGTATTTAAAAACCTATAAGACTATAATAGTAGTTTATGTTACAAGGACGAAAAGTTGAGTTTTTCGGGCGACTATGAAAAGCTTGCCAGGCTCGCCTGGCAACTCGAAGGAGTCCGAAAAAAACACTTTTCGTCTGTGTTTCATGCATTGTTTTTTATTCTTATGTGCTTAGATATTAAAACATATATAGAAAATTAAATCTGAAATGATAATATTTCCAATAATTTATCCACAACTGAGTTGGCTATGAGAACAATTGAACAATTTCTGTCGTGTCACTGTGCTCATGTCAAATTAATTTAATTACAAAAATGAGTAATGACGAAGAATTCATAACGGACACGACCCCAGAAATTAGAGGAGCGGCAAATTTGGCGCCTTTGATTTTGATTCCAAAAAAATCAAAAATTGTATATGAAAGAACCTGCCTCAGAGTTGAGAATTCTAATCGGTATGCAACACTTAACTTTAGAGGCCATGGCCGATAAAGTACTTTATGAAGTATATACAAAAGTTCTAGTTTTCGACTATGTTTCTTTCCGAAAAACGACGTTTTCTGACACATTCGAATAAAAAAATGATTTACATGAAATTGTGGTAACTCTATTAACTTAAATAATAATTCTAAACTTACAGTTTTGATCAAAGTTTTCAGTGTTATGAGACATAGTAGCTCCCCATGGAGGCATTAGTTCAAATACTGAAAAATAAAAATATTAACTCGATGGGACGTAATACACCTTTTTGGACGGGTATTTAAAAACCTTTACGATTATAGCAATTAACTATATTAAATAATTATCGATTTTTATTTTAACACACACTAGTTTTTCTCTTGTCATAATTGTTCAATATAGTTACTATAGGCAAATCAAATTAATTTTTCCGCAGTTGTCATTTGGATATTTTTAGGCTACTTGTTGCTTATATGTTATGTGAGCATGGAGTTAGACGGCTGTATTTCATTTTTAAGTTAGCTATCCAAATTATTCGGAGGTTGACAATCTCAGAATTACCAATTTAATCTTGATTAATTATTTTCTGTTTACAACCACTTCTCACTTGCGGTGGATAAATTTATAAGAAGATGGTTTGTGCCAGTTATACTGGTTTTCAGTTCTTCAGTTAGAAAATAAACTGGGTTAATCCAACATCCATTTACATATTCCATATCCACTTACATATTCCATATCCACTTATATCACTGATTCCTTACTTCTACACTAACATTCTATAACCTTCTCATTTTTTAATGTGTCAACTCATTCTCCTTCTAGCCCATTCTCTAATTCACTCCTAGAATATACTTATCTAAAAATTCTGCAGATTTCATTAGAGTATTAGAGACTGGAATCGAGAATGTCTATTCCTTGCTGATGAGTTCTAATAAGGACGAAACCAGTAAAAAAATGACATTCTTGTTAGTAAAAAAATAATTTTCTATCGTCGCTGTTTTTCTTTGGATATATTCATGCCTGTTACTGTATTAGTCACAAGAGCAGTTGTTTTTCGAAGGGGAATCACCAATCGTATTATTACGAAATGAGTGGGTTGGAGAATTTATTGTTTTTATTTATGCTATTTTCTTTTTTATTTTTAGTTTTAATTGTTTGTTTTCATTTTCATTTTTCATTTTCTTTATATTATATCGCATTAAAAATAGGTGATTGTTTTTAAAATTTCGTCGCTCTTAATCGACAAAGCTTTGAAAAGCCTACTTTGGATAGTGATCGTAGAGAAACAAATTTAACGCACATTACACAAATAATAATCATATTGAATAACAAGACTAAAAAGCGAACAACAATAAAAAATAAGGAAAATATCTCTTAATCTCTTAGCTTAAATCGCTAATGGCAATTTGTACTCTGTTTATATGTCATCTGTCACTAATTCTTCTAGTTTGACAAGACCATTTTACTGCTTAAGCAGTGATGTTATTTTCTTTTATAGACACTGTGAACATCTACCAAAATAAGCAAACATACGAATTTTAATTTTGAATAAAACATTAAATATTTAATTTGTCCATAATTGACAACTTTGCCAGGCTAGTCAAGATAAAAAATTTGCTAACAGACTGGTAATTACTTACGTCGGGGTCCTGCTCGAAGAAAGAAATGCCTATTTTATCTCGTATAGAAAACACTTGTTTTATTCCAAATTAATACAGGCTAGAACAGCAAATATAATATTTCTTCATTCGGTCATAATTTACAATCTTCGAGTAATAAAATGATTTTTTTTCAGCTTTTCCTAGATGGTACCAAGATTTTTATAATTTGTTTATTACTTTATTTAATGACATATATTATTAGTTTTTCTGCGAAATGCTGTAAATTTTGTTGTTTTTATTTGACCGCCAGCTATAATAATTAGTTTCTAAGTTTTTTTGAATAATGAAGAAATTCGAAGTACCAGCTGTCCTTAAATATTTTCACATTAATGGTTTATATCCCACGGAAATTAAAGCTGAGCTTGATTCTATTTAAGGCGTGTCTCTTCAATTATTTTCAACGGTCAAAACATGGGTTCCAGATTTTTAACGTGACCGTACAAGCACTACTATAAGAACATAAAGCTCCAGCTAGGCCAAAATCGACTATGACAGAAGATAGAGTCCTGAAAGTCCATAAAATTGTTTTAATTGACCGTCGATTAAAGTTAGTAGAGATCGCTGAGGATGTGAAGATCAGAAAAAGCAAATAAATAACATATTATGCGAACTCAAGGTAGGTGCCGCGACTGCTCACATCGAAGCAAAAAATAAATCGTAAGAACGTCTCAGAAGAATGTTTGCTATTTAAGCGTAATTCAAAATAATAAATTTTACTCAGATTTATATATACGAACAAGACTTGGGTTCACCATAATACACTAAAGACCAAACAGCAGTCAAGAAAATTGATAGCGAAAGGTGAAAACGGTTCCATCGGCCGGAAAAGTTGTGGCTTTGATGTTTTGAAATACCAATGACAATATTTTCATTATTACTTTGAAAATGAGCATTTTTATGCTAACTTGCTTGATCAGCTGCAACAGAAAATTTTGAAGAAAAGTATTCGATTATCATTAAGATAATGCGCTATGTCACAATGAAGTTTATTATTATGATGGCTAAAATTATAAACTGGGCTTTGAATTACTACCTTAACTCACCAGACTTAACCCCTTTAGGCTTCAGCTTGTTTCCAAATCTAAAAAATGCTAAATATGTTTCCGATTTGGAAGTTATTGTCAACACAAACGTCTATTCTGAGGAGATGGATGAATTGGCCTATACGAGCGGCATAAAGGGTCTTGAATTGCATTGAGGGAAGTGTATTAATTGACAGAAGGGACTATATCAAAATAAAAAATGAATTTTTCTCTCTTTTATGTTGTACATTATTTATCCCATCCGCATGTGTATAAAATGATCTAAAAGAGTTTTATTGTTTTTATGTTTCCTTTATCCCCTTTCCGACTGGATTTGCAGGTAAGTACGAACAGTAATAAAATAAATTGCCAAATTTAATACTTACAGGAAAACCTTTTGAAAAATACTTCAGCACCATTGTATTTCATTAGTAGGTCCACATCATTTATATCACGATATGTAATGAGTAGACATCCTAAAATAAATTTCAAGATAAGATATCCTAATTTAAAATATTTACATCTTATAAATCACAAAATTTGAGTTAATATAAAGTTTTTAATAATTACTAGCAACACCTTTTTGCATGCGTAGAGTTTTTAATAAAAAAAATGCAGGACTGCCCAAAATATTTAAGTATTTTAATATAATTAAGAATTTCTTCGTAGTTATGCCATATCTCTGGTACGGCTCTTATCTGCTAATATTACCAGATTGCATGCGGAACTGACTCTCTAACAGGCCTCATAAAACTGTCATGAAACTGTCCTCATGAAAAGCAGTCTCCTCTTTAGACTGTCGAGGTATCATTCATTAATGATCGACATTACAAGGGAATAATAATTGTAAAAGAAATGTTATAAGATAATTAAAAAGATCGTGAACAAATATTAAGTGGTTTAAGATCAATATGAAGAATTTAATAACTAAGAGATTAAGGCTTCCGTAAACAAATACCAGGAGTGGCAAAAATTTCAAAACGTTTGTACGATTTCAATGGTGTCCAATTTTAAACCGAATTTTATTGTCTAAAAAAGTAGGGGGTCAAAGGGGTGCAGAACCTTTATAAAAACCTGTAGAATTGAAACAATTATGAACGCCACTGACTCCATTTTATTGGTCACAGTATACTAACATCTCATGTATATTTTCATAAAAACATGTTAAACTGTTTTAGAGTAAAAATAATTTCAAAAATTTCTACTTTAACACCGTGTAAGTTTTTTACTATCCATTTTTTATACAATATTTGGCAAGTTAGCTTAATTTGACATATTTTAGATCCCAAAAATTGTGGTTGCATATTTTTTGTTACATCCTGTATGATAATGCAGCTAAAGCTACCGAAAATTTATTTTTGAGAATTTAACTCACATATAAACACACCATTTTTTAAAAATTGTAGTTTGTTGTCTGATACATATGAAAGAACGGAAATGGAAGTAAAACAAAGGAGCTAATGTTACTATTGTTAAAATACCAACCTGAACTGCTGAACGCTAAAGGTTTTAAATTTAAATTAAAACAACATCCGCATGACGATTCTTGACAATCGCAACCAATTCCATTTATATCAACACCGTAGCTATGTGGCAGCAAATCAATTGAGTTTTCAGAACTTATCGGTAGAGGTACATCGGCATTATGAACTTCCTCGAGAAGAGCACCAACTGAAAAGTATTAGAACAATAAACAAATGCACAGCTTATTGGAAAAACGTGAAAAATCAATAATTTAATTTATTGAGAAAAACTTTTTAAGGATTTAAACAAATTCATAAAATATTTCGCTAGGTATTATAACTAATATTATATTTTATGTTAATATGCCCCTCTACATTTAATGATAGAAAACGTGGCAAAAAGGACAAGATATAGATAATCAGGAACGGAGAAATCAGATGAAAGTATATTAGCTGCTTTCGTAGTGCTGCAACAAAAATATAACAAGGATGGTCCGAAAAACAAGTTTTTTTAATTAAATTTGGTGTCATATCAAGTTATTACATACGTTAAATCAGATTATATATTCGTGTCAGGATAACTGAACACAACAGTATATAACTAAAAAAATGCAAATTACTTTTAGTCAAGGGTTCTGCCTTATCGCCTGCTGTTTTATTTTTGGAATAAATACCCCTTTAACTCTTGTAGAACGGATGAAAAATAGGCGGAATCTAAATGCATTTTCATTTAACATAAACTTTAAAACCAATATATACGAAGGTATGCCAGTTTGATTCCCCATGGGGTATCAAATAGTTTTTTCATAAGTAAAAGTCAAATTTAAAAATATATAATGATGATTGACCACGATTACTTAATGGTGACTAGTTTTAGAAGTATTGGTCCCAAGATTTAAATGCTTATTAATTAGCTTTGCTATTGCACCTAATCTACATTCAAGATTCTTGGTGACTTCTTGTCTTACTTAGATCTGAATAAAAAAGTGCTTTATATAAAAATTGTCCACATTGAAATAACTTACCTAATGCATCAGTATCTCCAGTTTGAAGAGCAACTTCTGTAAATTGTATAGAAAAGTTATTTTTTATTATTATTTATTATATAATGAGATCATATGTAATAATCCAATGATACCAGTTGTGAATACAAAACGTTTGTCATATATATTGTTATGGTCCAAATTAAATACAAAAGATTATCTGCTAGCATTCCTTATTTAAAAAATACATTCTTTTAAGGTGTTCCCCGATTGGGACTGAAATCTGGATTTAGTACCAGGAAAAATAAAATCACTGCTAATAAGCTACCCCAAATCATTTAACGAACCATGCAAATAAATGAAAAAATGTCGCTCGACAAATTGGGCTATCGATACGATCAGCGTTCTAATAATAATCAAGTTGAGAAATAACCTTATTATACGAAGATGCTAGCAGATAAAAGTATTTTAGATATAGAATTGTATTTTTAATTAACTGCATTACCTAAATCTGATTGATGTGAGCTCGCTGTAACAAAAATATTAGGGAATATATTAATCATTTTTAAAATGGAAAAAATATTATATATTACTTTATTTTAAAATTTACTTAAATGTATTGTTATAATATTATTTTAACAGTTTTATAAATTTATTAACTAACCCCGTATAAATAAACGAATATTAATCTCTTTTACTTTTGGTCAAATCCTGTATAAAAATAATTCAATTTATAAACGTCCCAATTTAAAATTCTCGCTCTTATGCGCGCTTTATATCTGAAATTTTTTTTATAAATTAATTCATGGAGTTAATTCATGAAAAAATTTATAGATGTATAATCAAACTTTACGTGAATAAATTCATGAATTTATTTACAATAAACAGAACATATTTTATTTTGTATACATCTTTGCCTTGAAATTTAAAAGTATGTGCGGGCGAGCATTAACATTAAATAAAAATGTATCGATACCCTATAGATGGCGCAAAAGCATGACGCACTCATGAACATTGTTTTCGAAGTAAACTTCATTTACATCGGATTAATGAGGACTAAATCTGTGCAGTGACCAAAGCAACTTTCTCCCTAGGATATTAGATTTGATTTAATTTGGACTTTGGGCCATGTGGCCATGTGACGTTGACGTTGTCGAGATTATTCGTATAAAGTATATTCCTTTTTTTGTGTCCGAAAATAGAGTCGCGGGTCGCGATTAGTTTGTTTAGTAAAAACCATAGTGATAAAAGTAACGTTTGCTTCCGCCAGCCTTGCAGCCTAACAATGCTTATGTAAGTAAATAGTTTTAAGTAATTATATGTAGTTATTGTGTTATTAGTTATATTAGTTGTTTTTATTTGTTAAATAAACTACAGTTATTTGTTTTACGCTTGTTTCAATTTTCTTTGGTTTAGGAAAACTTACGATCATTCAAAGGCGGGGGTGTTGGCTTGATCCGATCTCTGAGAGAGAGATACTGCCAAAGGGAATAGTTCCTGTAGGGCAAACCCTTTCCCCGTCCTCTGAATCATCGTCAGGAAGTTAGGGTTCCATCTGAACCTAACCCCCTAGCCGTGTGTTGTCTAGAGGCCAATTTAAATACAAATTGGGCCCCTCTATACAACTCGTGGTTACCGATAAGAGTGGGCTTAAGGGTCAGTCAAACAGGTCTATAATCTCACTTTTAACACTATCAATTCAGGAGGATGCACAATGAGCTTAGTGAGGCGCAAATGCCATGGGGTAACAACTCTCCACACTTCAATTACTGAAATGTTAATGCTGTTCAATGTTACCGGTTCATAATATTATTAAAATTACAAATAAAGTTTAAAAATTAAGTTACTTTTGCTTCATAATGTTTTAGAAAAACAGTTTACCTAATTCTTTTCAATACCTACTGAATCTGTGGATTATAACTACTACCAAATTACTTCGGCATAGTATTTTTTAAAACATATCATCCATACCTGCTGCGATTAGATTTTCTGCAACATAAAAAAGAATAATTATTTATTAAAAACCTATATTCATTTATAGAAACTGAAAAAGTTGTTGTTATTATTGTTTAAGAGCCGTATTTCGAAATAAGGTAGTATTTTTTAGCAAAAGTTCTTGAAAAATATTTATAATAGACGGAAATAAATTAAACTGTGACTCTCGAAAAAAAATACATATGAACCCTTCTAAACTACAAGAGTAATAAAACGTGTTTGTACACTTTGGACAATATAAATTTCTGCTCTAGGTGGGACTGGATATCGCGCCTCTGAATTGAGGTTCCAATGTCATATCGCTCGACCACCAGAGTTACGTATCTGGCGCCTTAATCATTAATTTGAGTGAAAGATTCTTCCCTGATTTTTCTAATATTTAAAACGAGAAAAATTTTTCCGACAAACATTCAGATTATTTCTAATTTCAATTCACGTTTTGCCAAAATATCACCTTTTAAAACAATTCTTGAAACAGGTTGATTTCTAATTTCATTTTGCCACATTTTAAACAAAAATTTATGTCTACAAAGTAATAACGTCAGCGAGAATTATTTGTAATGGAACATCCTAAATAGTATTATATTTTTGGAATCGCCATGGAAAGCTGAGTTCAAAAATATATCACACATAGCGTTGCTGGAGATGCCATTAAAAAACATCGATGACGTCGTTTCTCCTACACCGAATCATTCTGTATTCAATTGAAATAATGCTCAAATATATATAAAGTTTAACGGTCTCGAGCGTTTTTCCAAAAGTTATTTCTTTAATGTTTAACGAATTTATCCAGGTAGTATGTAGCGGGCGCATTGTATACAAACTATGTACTGTTTCGAATTCAGCTTTCATAGCGGTTCCAAAATTTTAATAATAATAATAAAATAATTCTTCACTCATAGTTTATATCTTATTAACTATACCCTGTCATAAGTTTACCCAAGAATTTTTTCGTTATAATCTTACCACCACCTGTAGAGGCCTTAACTTGACAGGTCTCCTTTCAAAAAATGTTAGTTTTTTTTAAAAACAACAATGTTTAAAATAGGCCTTATCTTTTAATCTGTTTAATGTATGTGATTTGTTTTTGTAGTCTTGAATATTTTAAATTTTTACTATAATTGACTAATATTTGTTTTTTCAAATATTTTTAACTTTTTATTACGTGTAAATCGGTTCATTTTACAATTTATTTCAACCCAAAATTGATGAAACTTGTTTTTGTAGTATTCCCTAGTGGATGGAGAGTATGGTGAGTTTTCTCTTTTTTATTATTTTATATATCGTTTTGTTTCCAAGTTAACACACCTTACACCACATATTCTCCTTTCCACTAGGCGAGCCTGAAGATGAAGTGATGACACTTCGAAACCGGTCGCACTCAATGTTTTGTTAAACAATTAAACATTGACTTTCCTTGTGAGATATAAAGGACTTTTTCTCACCCTTCACCTTAAAATATATAGGGTGTTCGATTTAAAAAAATTGTTCTGCTATAATTACCTTAAAAATTTATATTTTTAAAAAAATATCAACCTTACCTGCTGCGATTAGATCTTCTGCAACATAAAAAAGAATAATTAATTATTAAAAACCTATATTCATTTATAGAAACTAACTAAGTTGTTGTTATTATTGTTTAAGAGCTGTATTTCGAAATAAGGTAGTATTTTTTCGCAAAAGTTCTTGAAAAATATTTATAATTAGCGGAAATAAATTAAACTGTGGCTCTCGAAAAAAAAAAATATATATTAACCCTTCTAAACTACAAGAGTAATAAAACGTGTTTGTACACTTTGAACAATATAAGGGGGCGTCCATTAATTACGTGAGGTATTTTTGAGGATTTTTTGACTCCCCCTCCCCCCCTGGCGAGATTTGGTAAGATTTTCCTTAACTCCCTCCCCCCCTTCCCTAATCTCGCGTGAGATTTTTCAAAATTCGTGTTTTGGGTGTAAATGTGTTGTATTATTAAAAAAAAAAAAAACAAAAACACAATATGTTCCATTACTTTTATTTAAGACTAGCAAAGACTAGTGTTTGAGAGTGTTGCAATTATTTAAAATCACATTAATAAAATTAAATGATAAATACTTAAATGGAAATTAATAAAAAATAAATAAACATATTTATAAGATTTTTCCATATTTTATTCTAGAAATACTTTTACTATAATTTAACTTTACTTTCACGCAATTTTACACCGTTTTTTACTAGAAAAAATATTACGTGAGATTTACGAAAAGCCCCCCTCCCCCCCAAGTGAGATTTAGAAAGATTTAGTTTTATCCCCTCCCCCCCTTGAACACCTCACGTAATTAATGGATGCCCCCTAACGGTTTCTCTAAATCAGAACATGCGGCACGCTACGACATTCTTTGCAACACGCTGAGCGGGAAAAAAATATTGAAACGTTCGTAAAAGAAGGAGCGATTCATTGCTACACCAACGATGAAAGAAAATAACACATACGTAGGCCATATGCCGCCACTGGCGATGGGTAGAGGGCAGCAATGAAGTTACTGGAACATTGGAGATCTCGATTCTTGCTGGACCGATATATTTTAGAATCGACACATACAAAAGCTTTGATACGGTTCCTGCAGCTACTCAATTTAAGCTTTTTTGACTAAGAAAACAATAATAACTGACGAACATCGAGATTATAATGACTGTTAGGAATCAGACTATTTAACCACAAACAACAATAATAAAATTTAGTGCATTGTTTGTATGTATACAAGTACTATCAGTTTCTGAAGAATATGATTTGAAATGACATTACACCACATTATACGAGTTTCAGCAATATTCAGGGACGAATATCGATTTAGTGAGTTTAGAATCAAAAGAGAAATTACTGTTTTTTTTCTCAGCCGCGTTCTATATCTGTTGAGAACGTAAGCAGAGCAGACTTTTAATTATAATTGTGTAATTTATTGTCAGATCCATTTTAACAAAGAAAAACAGAAATTAAATTGCATTTTTTAGGTTACTCTCAGGAGAACGTTACTCCAACTTGCGAAACTTGGGCCTTAGGCATAAGGCTCAATTACGAAAGCAGCATTTCCAATTTGAAATTTATAAAAACATATAGGTGTTCCCTATCCTATAAGTCACTTACTTATCAACAACAAATATTAATGTTCGGGCTACTTTAAGTCCTGCTCTAAATATAAATTATTTTATCGCCAACCATCACTAAAGCAATGCATTACCTTAGCGATATGCGGAAGTAAACAAACACTTTATCTCACTGTAAAAATCAAATATTTCATCTGCCGCTAATATTTATCAACATAGCCATGACCGTCTGATATAAATAGTCTGTGACTGATTTGTTTTGTATTCACTGTTATTTTTATTTGAGTAAGGATAATTTCCTGACCATATGAAATAAATAAATTTTTATTTATATGTAATTTTTATATTTGTTTACTTTATCGTACTAGAATGTGATGTTTGATATCTTCTTTTTTATTAATTATAATTATTTACGGTTGGCGATAAAAGTTTGTATGGACCACGTCAGCAAAGTGTATTTATCGAACTCGTCTGTTACTCGCCTCGCTCGATTCTCTTGCTCGGCTCATAACCTCACACTAGTTCGATGAAAAATCACTTTACTGACTTGGCTCATAAATAACTATTACAAATACAATTTAGTATCTTTTAAATATTTGCATACCTAGATATTCGGCTTTTTCGTCCATTATCATTCCTGTAAAAAAAAAACAAATTTTATTTTGCTGGTTCAGTAGAAGTGTGATAATGTTTGATAATTCACTGAAAAATATGATAAAAATGTTTCAAATGGGCAAGACCAGGTAAAAGTTAAGAGAACCTATTGAAGGCAACATTTTTCTTTTAATCTTCTTTGGATGCAGGTGTTGTTTTTGATTTACCTTATGTTTTATGAAAGAGAGTGTGGGTGGGTTGGCTCAGAGGTCACAGTCATGACTTTGAGATCTAAGGGTCTTAAGTTTGAATCCCGCCGGTAGCAGGGATTTTTATTTAATTTAATAAATTAAATATTAATTCTAATGCATAGGTAGGCATTCCCCACTCGATCATTCACTGTTGGGTTCTTGGGTTCTAATTAATAGTGTTCTTAAAATGGCGCTGGGAAACAGTAACCAAGCCAACACAGAACACGAGGCTAATTACCTAACATATAAATAACCCCAACGTTATAAATGATCGGTGTGACATCTAATATATTGTTACGCTGGTTTTTGGTATCACAATTTATTTTAACTAAACTTTAAAAACAATTATACAACTGATAACAGTAACATGTAACGTCTATAATCAAACTGAAACTCTGACGTCAGATCGTCGACTAATATAGCTTGCCTCGACCTTCTAGACCCTTCTTAAACAATCTGGACTTTTCTTTGACAAGGAATGACATTTCGAGACATTTCGGGAATATTCTATCTTCTTCATTTACTCGTACCTTTACTTATGACGACTGCAGCACGCTACAGGATGCTGCGTAACAATATTAATCAAATATACTTTAACCATTCATAACCAAATATGCACATTAAAAAAATAAATAAATAAATAATTAAAATACACAATTAATTATATAAAAATTTCACCGGTAACTACTTACACCCAAACAACAAAAGACGAAAAGATAAAAATGAATTTCAATTAAAATTGACAAATGACAAACGTCAACTGACAATACCTATTCCAAAAAAAAAAAAAATACCGCATAGCGATTCCTAAAAACTAAGAGCGAATTTTAAAACCCCAAATATCAATTTTGTATTTGAGCTAATGAGGACGAGGATGAGGGACGAAAAACGAAAAAAAAACTCATACATTTGTGAATATGCGAGTAATGAAACTAAAATACCGGCATACGTCACAGCTCCCTGGTTTTTATTCTTAAATCACAGGGAGTTAAAATTATGAGAAAAATAAGACAAAAATACAAGTTTTATGCGCTGTAAAAAATAGGAAAAACAGGTTTTATATTTCCTCAAATTCAAGAATTCAGATGAACTGATAAAAATATAAAGGGGAAAAACCTAGATTATACATGCCCTTCACACACACAAGGAGTAAATCATAATAGAATTTAAGAATAATAGTACATATAATTATCGTAAAACAATGTAAACTATTATTTTTTCTCCTGTTTAGTAATTTAACACAAAATATTAATATTATATAAGTACTGATTAAAACAAATTTGTTGTAAATATGAAAAAAATAAGTTGGAAAAAATTCGGCATCGTCCGAACGGGCTAAATTTTTACGTTTTTTCAGGCAGTTTTACACTTAGACCCTAAAACTCCCATATGTGTCTAAATAATAATATTAGACTATCCATAGAGAAATAAATCATAATACAAATATTGTCTAAAAACTTTTCCTCATAAAAAGTTTTTTTAATCTTCTGTTTTTCATATTATGTAGCGGCAATCTCTAATTTGATAAATGTCAAAAAATACAGTGTTGCTAGATCAATATAGAACAAGACAATAATATTTTTTAGGTAGAATAATGTAAATTAAAAAATTAAGGTCGATACTGGACAACAAATTTTAAGGATTTTATGGTAAAGTTTCAGCGGATCCAAAATTATTGTGTGTGTTTCAAAGTGTCTAGAGTCTTTCTGTAAAATTTCAATAGTAATATCCTCCGTTCAGATGATGGCGTATATTAGTATCAGTTGTTGAAAAAAACAAAAATAATAATAATAATAATAATAATAAAGAAAATATAATTTATTAACTTAATAATAAAAAAGTACTGAAGAAGGCACAGAACAGATGCCGAAAGCAATACAGTACATAAGGTAAAACTGTAGTTTTATTTAAAATCAAAAACAACACCTACATCCCAAGAAGATCAAAAGAAAAATTTTAAAATAAGGTGTAAGAACCATAAATAAACAGAATATTCCTAAAATTTATAGTAAATCAAAAATTAAGGCTATAATGTCTATAACTAACATAGTGTATGTTTAATTAAATTATTATCTGGAAATATTAAATATTTAAATTTAATGGTATATGTTACTTAGTTTATAAAGAAATAAAATACAATTTAATATACGAACAAGACTGCACAAATGTCTAAAATAATTATAAAATAAATAATTTGTTGAACAAGAATAAATACCAGTGATTCTCGATTTATTTCTTTAGCATTTTATTTGTAAAGCCCTGGTAAAGCCTGGTCGCCACAAATGTATTTGCTATATAAATTAAGTAAGTTAACATACAGTGGTTTCATAAACTACCTAGCCATTAAATTTATTTTTACATTAATTAGGGAGAAAACAAAAATTTAAAAATTAAAAAATTTCTGCTCTGGGTGGGACTGGATATTGCGCCTCTGGATTGACGTTCCAATGTCATAATCGCTCGACCACCAGAGTTACGTATCTGGCGCCTTAATCGTTAATTTGATTTTTCTAATATTTAAAACGAGAAAAATTTTTCTGACAAACATTCAAATTATTTAGAATTTCGATTCACGTTTTGCCAAAATATCATTTTTTAAGACAATTCTTGAAACAGGTTGATTTCTAATTTCAATTTGCCACATTTTAAACAAAAATTTATATATACAGAGTTCAAAAATATATTACACATAGCGTTACTGGAGATGCCATTAAAAAACATAGATGGCATCGTTCCTTCTACACCGAATCAGTCCGTATGTATTGATTTCAATTGAAATAATGCTCAAATATAAATAAAGTTTAACGGTCTCGAGCGTTTTTCCAAAAGTTATTTCTTGATTTTTTAACGAATTTACCCAGGTAGTATGTAACGGGCGCACTGTATGTTTTATTTAAATAATTTAAAAATTTATATTTTGACTAAAAATGAATGTTTTCAATAATTTACGAAAGCACTGTATTCAAGGGCGAGAAAAAACATGGAAAAAGAGCTAGAAAATATATATTTAAAATTTGTCATACCTTCCAAATCTTCGTTTCCTGCAAAATTAAGACTATTAAAAAACCATTTTGTTATTCTTATTAAGTATAGTTTTATATACAATATCGGCAACTGAACGATTTCCAATACGTTTTGCACAAGGGCAATTAAAAACTACAGAGAGTTGGCATTAAGGCGAGCAGGAAACAAATAATATCAGCGTTGTCAGTTTATGCAGCCCAATCGCGTTGTAACGTTGGCAGTGCCGTATAAATTTACATTGCTAATATTATGCGTTTCCTGCTCGCTCTAAGGTTAACTCTATTTTTCACACGCACTTGTGCATATCATAATGAAAAGAGTTCGACAGCCGATACTATATACTTATATGAACTGCAAAATTTTCTATAAATTAAATCATTTTTTATTTTGCTTCATTATAGGAAGATAATTTTTTACACCTCTATAGGTACTACGTATAACAATTTTTATTTTGAGGGTGACTTGCTGCGAAACATACTTTGTTGCCGGCCGTTTCGCAGATGTGTTACCCTCAAATAAAAAAATGTTATAAATAGGACGAAGTTGGTTTTCATTATCTTGTGCTCTCATGCAGGATATCCTAAAATATGTGGGCAATCAAGTTCCTGGAAAGAGATTTCTACGGAAATACGGGCCCCAAAACTACCGATGCCCCTGAAAATCTTTTTTTATTTACTCATTTTTAAAGTAGTTTAATTAAATATTGTTTTTAATAAGATATTAATATAGACCCTTTTAAATATATTTATCTTATTTAGTTTGCTGGAGATAGACTAGCTTTAACACAATATAGCTATTTTTTACCCTCTGTATGATAAAGGTACAGCAATAATATTTTGAGCAGCTTAAACCATATAAAAGGTACTGTTTAATTAAACAGTTTTTTATTTAATTTATTTACACCAAATACTAATTTATTTATTAACTCATTTTATTATACTAAATATAACTCTAATTATATCTCTAGTAATACACTAATTCATATTGATAACATTTATCTTAAAAACACGATCTTAGCTAAAACTGACTGATCTAACAGAAAAACAGGCTAGTTATATAAATATGTGGGCCTCGAAGAGTCTAAACGTCTTTGGACTAAATCTAGACACCTTTACCAAGTTCTTGATTCAAGAATCTACCTGAATTTGTAATTTAGTTGTTATCATTCATCGTAGGATACAACGCATTTTAGAATAAATGATTCACACTAGTTATGACCAAGCATAATATCTCAACTAATACATTCTTACCTTAATTAATACCCATAAATACCTTAAATAATACCCGTAATTCTCCAACCAATACCGCTAACAGCTAGATATTACCTATTAATACCCTGAATATTACCTACATTACCCCAAATATGTACACCAAAATAACCCTGCGGACTACCCCTCGGAATGATATTAAATAGTATTTAATAAAAACCATTTTTTTTAATAGTTCATTTTATCGATCAAGAGTACAGTATATTAGTTTAAGGTTAAGGCCAATTTTTGTGTCTTTATCATATAGGTGTAAACAAATATCATTAGGTTAAAAATAGCCTATTTCTGGCGAACTAAATAAGTGAAGTATGTTTAAAAGCGTCCATGTTAAAACTTATCTAGTATCTAGGATATTACGCAGCCACATGAGTGGAGCAGAAATATAAACTAATATGTCCAATAAGCATAATGGGAAAGCTGTATGAATAGATACTCAAAATCAGATTAAAAGAAGAATTAGATCATAAAGAAGGTATGTATATCTGTATACGGCTTTAGAAAAAGTTTCAATGGCAGTAGGGGAAGTTAAAAAGAGAGCGAGAGAAGATAAAAGTAGCAAGAGGACATCAATTATCACTTTTGATAAAAATAATACATTAAACACGTCATGGAAACTAATAATGTAAAGACCAAGATCTATATAATATCCGCGGCGACGAAAGTTTTTTTTTTCAAATCTTCATGTATTTTTTTTACCTTTGGAGTTTGGAGATGGTCTTAATAATTCGTAGGGAGACTTTTGAGATTTGTTTCCGAATTTTCAAATTATTTTCAACCTCTTATTTTCCAGATACACTGACTTTTCGGATTTCGATTTACGTTTTCACATAACAAATTTACTATTTTCAATATAATAGATCGCAATATCTAATTTCCCTGATCCATTGCTACTTCTCTTGAAAAAAGTCCTAAAAATAACGCAGGTGTGTTGCAAGGCTCTATACTGGACCCAACACTACGAAACTTCTTACACAGTTTTAAACATTACAGTACTGCTCTCACATACGCAAACGACAAGAAGGCAACAAGAAGAACCTCGCAGGAAACTAAAACGAGGTATTGTAAGAAATCACTTTTATGGAATAGAGGAAAACAGACTAGAATTGGCAAAAAGTAAAACGGAAGCGGTTGTAATAGAGGAAAAGAAAGACAAATGCTGTGGTGTTTAACATAAGAGGTAAAAATAAAAATGCCATAAATTGTTTGAAATATCTAAGTATACGGATTGACAAAAGAGAAACATTCAGAAACCACATCATTAAGCCTTGGGAGAAAACGACCTGGAAGCATCCGGATGAGATTATACAGTACCTAAGCACAATTTATACTATTGTAGGGAGAGGAAGTAGGTATGCTTAGAGATGCTGCAAGTATTGAAACACAGAAATATGAAGATGCGGTACTCAGGGCAATAATAGAGTATCTTGACTATTACCACGTATTAGAATTTCTTGACGAAATGAGTTAAAAACTGGTCTGGGACCTATTGTGAATGCTCTATATGGTGGTGACCATAAATAGGTAGGGGAAAGTGTTCCACAATGAGACATGTTAATTAAATTTAAGACAAGCATCTGAAAGGACAGGCATTAAATTTTAAACGCTTCATCGCTACGTCAAAAAACAAAAACTTGTAGGCGAAAATGTGAAACTATGCCTGTCGGCTGATTTTTACCTTAGAACAAGAGAAACTTATTGCGGAATACGCCATAACTTGTTAGAAAATATGCTACGGCAAAACTAGGAAAACTTTGCGAATACTTGCTTTCGAAGTAGCCGATGCAAATAAATTTAACATTCCTGAAAAATAGAAAATTAATAAACGGGCAGAGATGGAATGGTTATTAGATTTTATGTCACGGAACTCTGAGTTGAGTGTAAGACAACCAGAAGTCTGTAGCCTTTCCAGAGCTACTTCATTTAATAAGCATAATTTGGTCAATTTTTTGCCAATTTGGAATCGATCTATCAGCGTTTTGCGTCTTGCAAATGGGACTCGCATCTACAACCTAGACGAGACCGCAACCACTACTGTTTAGAAACCACGTAAGAAAGAAGGGAATTAAACAAGTTAGTGAACGCGAAATATTAGTAACCACCTGTTGCACTGTGAACGCAACTGGAAGCTTTGTTCCACCAGTTATGGTTTTCCCAAGAAAGAAATTTAAACAGCACATGCTGCACGTCGCTCCTCCCGGTACCTTAGGCCTTGCACAATCATCAGGATGGATGACAGTGGATTTATTTATAGAAGTCATAAATCACTTTATACATCATACCTCGATTAGTGTAGACAATCAATCCCACACTGTGAATTATGGATAACCATGAAAGCCATTTTTCGGCTTATGTTCTTGACCTAGCATAGAAAAATGGAGTTATTATTTTGACATTGCCACCGCACACCTCTCACAAATTGCAGCCTTTAGATCGTTCGGTTTTTTTCCCATTCAAATCCCAATATAATGCTGCAGTTGAATTGTGGATGCTAAGGAATCCAGGCCGTCCGATCTCAATTTATGAAATAGCTGAATGTGTTGGTGTTGCGTTTGAAAAATCTATAACCCCCAAAAATATAACAGCAGGTTTCAAAAACTCAGGTATTTTTCCCTTTGACAAGAACATTTTACGGACAACGATTATATTGCTAGCAGTGTCACTGACCGATGCCAGCCAGGTGATGAAATTGCTGGTCCATCTGAGCATCACATTACTGGGAATTGCGGAGACGAAACATTTGAAACGAATACGGCTGATAATCAGGATTGCAATGGCACAACAATTGAAACCTCTAAGACTGATATTCAAGAATCGGAATTCACCAAAGGAACTAATATTATTGAAAAATTTATATCGCCGGCAGTATTAAAAGGCTATCCGAAAGCACCAGAATTAAAACAAACGAACAGGGCTAGACAAAAGAAGAGTAGCATAGCTACAGACGACAAGCCAGAACTTAATGAAATAAAAGCAAAATCCAAGGAGAAAGTGAGGCAGGCGGAATTAAAAATTAGAAAAAAGGGCGTCCTATCAGGAAGATACTAGGGGCTCCTCTGAAGATGCTAGTGATATTGAAGATGCCTTGGATAAAGATAACTTTCTTGCACTGAAGCGACAACCACTCGCTGGGGACTACATTTTAGTTCAATTTGATGAATTAAAAACTGTTATCTTTTATGTCGGAAAAATTTTAAATAAAAAAGAAGATGAATTTTAAATTTAATTTCTTCGTAAAAGTAAGTCCAACAACTGTTTTTCCACCCCATAATAGAAGATATAAGTATAATCGAAGAAAAAGACATCAAAATAATACTTTCCAAATATTTAACGACTGGAAAAACTAAGAGGCAACAGGGGCTCTAATACGTTTTGAACTAAACTTCAACTTCATTTAATGTGCGCTAATATTTTGAAGGATTTTATTTTATTTTTTACTTATTGGATTTATATTTTATGTTGTCCTATCTAGCAAAATAAGTTTTTTGGATACTGTTTTTTTTCAAAAGAATGTTCATTTTCCTTTATTATATATTTTTTTTTTTATTTTTTGTATTGCTTTTTGGTCTCATAGTGGAACATACATGTTCCACAATGAGACAAAAATCACGATTTAAAAAAAAATCCCTATTTATTTTCTTAATCGATATATTGATAAACTTATTGCGTTAAATGACGAGGAATATGTCAATCTATGTGCATGAAACAACAAAATTACAAAATTCAATCATAACCTCTGGCAACTTACCGAAACGTAATTTATGTCTCATTGTGGAACACTTTCCCCTATTTTTTCTTATGTATACTCGTTGTATCTTTCACTTCGTCAAAATTATAATTTGAGGTATTAAAATGAAGGTAGCGATATCTAATCGCAAGAATTATTCCAGTGGACCAGCTAGTGGAAGAAAGAACAAGAATAATAATTATAAATGTCCACAGCGAAGAAGATGACAGGAAAGGTGGACCGCAAATAATAGCACATTTCCTAAGTGGACACGTGTGCGCCAGCTCATTCACATAAGAAAATTTTGGAAAGATGTATAAGTATGTAACGAGTATATTGAGCAAGAAGAAAAAGAAATAAAGAAAAATTCAACACGAAGAGAGAAGAAGCAATAAAAACGAATAGGTAAGTATAAATAACCTTTAGAAATCAACAAAGGCTATCAAGTTAACTCGATCTTACCGTGACAGCTAAAGCAAGTAAGAGAAGGAGAAGGAGAAGGAGGGGTTTTAGTCGGAGTAGCATTCGACAATATCAGACATATAGAGGCCAATGTTCGGTGCCAAGTGATCTCCCCTCAACAAGAAAAATAGTACTTATCAAGTACTATATCTAAATCCGGGATCCCCTCGAATTTCCCATATAGTCTGGGACACCCTATATATAATATAATTATAAGGTGATATTCTTAAGTATAAATATTAAAATTCATTCATAAATCTTTTTTAACCTCCTTGAACATCAACTTTATTAAATTGTAGAAAGAAAATCTTGCATTTCAATTAATTTTATTTGTAGATATTTTTAGTTCAATATCTAAAACAAACAAAGTTCTAACAAAATAAGAGCCGACATAATTTTTATGACTTTACGACAACTTAGAAGGGCCACACTGTTTGTTTTTTTTTTGTATTCGATTACGGAATTCTATATTCGAGCTACAGTTTTTAATGGCATATTTACAGGTTACCCTTAGGGGACTTGGGAAAGGGAAGGCTAAACAAATACGGATCCTTTAAAAATCTACAGATTTTAATGCCAAATGCCCTACTCAAATGATTTTATCTAAAATAAATTTTTAAAGTACTCTTGGTGGTCATACATAACGTATATATTCTTGGTGCTTCATTTCCATTCTGAAGTCTAAAATCCTTTTTTTAGAAGCACATACTCGTATTTTGGTAAACGTATATTTTTTGGAACATTACATTTTTCGAAATATGACGTCATCACCATTTTTTCATAACACCATTTAAAAGAGTACAAAGAGAAATTAATAATAAATACATTTGAAAATAACAAAATTATGCGAAATGAAACTTTTTCATCTCTTGACAATACGCTAGTCAATTCTAAACTTTCAAAATACTGTCAGGCGTCCATTGGCATTTTTAAAACTTTTTTATCTAGAAAATATTGTGTTGCAAAACACAAAATTTATTGTCTATACGCAAAAATTTTACACTTTTATGGTCTATTTATACTCCCTTAGTAATAGTATTTGTATCAATATTATGATTAAGCATTAAACTAGACAAACTATTTAAAAAGGCTATTTATACTCGTTTTATAATCAGTATTAGTGCTTCTGTTTTAATCCTAATAAGATATAATTCTGCAGTCAACAAAATGTATGGTTACTGAAGAAATGTATAAGAGGTCAGTAGTGTTCTTAGAGTATTTTTCAAGATATTTGAGTTTTAAACGTGTTTTTATTAATATGTGACAACAATCATATGTGTATTGTCAATTGTCATTATCCGTTGTCTTGTAAAAACAAAGGCCATTTGATAGAAAAGAAGAAATTTAAGATTTAATATAAAAGTTGAACCTGTCAATTATTAAGCATAAATATTAATGCTATTAATAATCATAAATCGAGTATAAATCTCCCCATTACATTGTAAAGGTTTAACTTATTCCTTAATTAACATACTATTCATACTAATGCAAATACTAATAATAAGGGACAATAAAGAGACCTTTAAATTGTAGCTAATATCAAAAAATGGTGGGTCCATTTAAAAAAATGGCGAGGGCGTCATAATTTGAAAAGTGATGACGTCATAAAAACGTAGGACCTATACCAAATTATAGGTATCTAAAAAACAAAATTAATGCTCGGATAATTTTTTACTCGACCAATAAACATTTTAATGAATTTGTATGTATGGAGAGAGGACCTCGACACGAGAAAAAACAATCTTAACCGGTCCCCCACTTTCTCAATTTCTTTTTTACCAAGCCGAAGCAGTGAGAGATATTAACAAACTAATTGTTTAAACTATTTAAAAGACGACACCTCACTTTACCCCTTTTCCATCTTCGGAGCTAGAGAGGGAAGGAAAAATTTAGATGAAATTCACGCTAAAAGATTTTTTTTATTTGCTGCGATGTTGCCTTGGATTGCTTATAGCTAGAAGTACAGTTGGCAATGGTATTACATGTGAGTCCTCCCATTACAAACATTACCCGAGAGTGAAAATCTGAGGATTTTAAGACGATCAGTATTTACCCTTCTTCCCCCAATTCACCCTAGAGTTTTAGATTTTTTTGGTCAAATACGGAATTCCAAGTTCATATACGACACTTTATATTTAAACACGAAATTTCAGAAGTATAAAAAATGAAAAAATATACGAGTAGCCTTTTTATGCTGCCGTATGACTTTGAATAAATTGTTATGTTTCATACCGTTTATAATTTATATCTGTGGTTTTTCGTCACAACAGGTAGAGATCTATAAAGAAATAATGTGCCAGCTAGGTCGCCCCAATTTGCCTACAACACTTTTGTCCATAAAAACCATACTATAAGGAATACTGATTATCGAATTTCAATATTGAATAAACTCAAATGTAAATTAGATTTATTTGATCTTGTCCAATAAATATACTTGCCTTGTACTCATTTGCGGCCGGTAAATGGAACATAACACTATCAGGTATATAAGGAATGTGGTAATTAGTACAACATTACTAAACGCAAATCAACATGCATACACCCCAGGCAGATCTACTGATTCAGCCCTTCACCTCGTTGCTGGCTTCTTTATGGACATAGGAGGTGCTTTTGATAAGATGACTTTCCCCAACATATTTCACTCATTAATAAACAAAAATGTAAAAGATATGAATATAAGAGGCTTGGTTGCAAAGGAATGTCCACAACGAGAAGTACTCCCCTCTACTGTAGAATATGTTTCTTGAAGCCCTCAAAAGCCGCCTCAATAATGACAATCTCTACACAATTCATATGAAGATGAGTTGGACATTTTGCAAACAGATAATTTTGTAAAAGAATGCAAATAGCTCTTAAAATTATGGATTAGTGGTGTAAGAACTATTCACTGTCTATCAATCCCAAGAAGACAAAAATGGTCCTTTTTACAAAGAAATTATGAAAATGGAACTAAAACCTCCAGAGCTCCCAAACATAAAACTAAACTTTTCAACAGAGGTGAAGTACCTAGGTTTCACCTTAAAAAGAGCATACATGAACAATGCCGTCGAACTGTGGGAGCGCGCCTAGGGTCTTTCCCCCAGCGTCGTCGCATGGACTCATAAGACCTATGCTAAAATACAGCGCAGTATTCTGCATACCAAAAACCTAAAAACTGACAGCTATCCGCGAGCTAGAACAAATTCAAAGAACAGCATGTCTCAACCAGGTCCATGGAAGTCTCATGGAAGTCTTACATTAACGAGGATGTTCAAATGACAATGACACGCCTACCACTGCTTCAAGCGAATGTGGACTCAATCTCACAGAGATATAACTTTTATAAGCCATATAAGGATATAAAAGAACAAATAGAAGGTCGGAAGTGGCAGGTACGATTTATATCTACACCGAAAGTTCTAAAACAAAACAAGGATTAGGATGTAAAATATACTCCAGATCCTTAAAAATAAACATAAAAATGGGCTATAAATAATAGTGCCAGTATAGTTCACAGTCACGCTCACGATCATAGCAGCAAATAAAATTACCAGAAAAAATATCACTACAAGAAGCATACTTATCTGTACAGATAACAGACAAGCATTACTCTGGGCAGATCACGAATTTACTACAATGTCAAGAAACATTGGCCTAAGTATCCATCAATAATGTGGTCACCTTATGACGAATCAAAGATCACGCTACATCGAAAGGTGCTTTCTCACTAGTTAAGATGGCAGTCAACCAAATACTTTTTGGACGACCCTTATATTTGAATGACAACATTGGTAGTAATAAACCTAATTAAAGAACATTCCCTTGTGAAATTCAAGGAAAGATGGCAAGCAATAAGAAGTTGTAGAGTTGCCAGGGAGCTTTAAAGTTATTCTGACAGCACTATAGTAAATAAATACTTGGCTATGACTAGAAAAAATCTGCGCCTCATCATAGGCATTTTTACTGGTCATTGCCAAGTACGGAAGCATCTAAATTGCTTGGGCCGTCAGAATCCGCACTCTGCAGAGGGTACGAACAAGAAGATGAGACTATCGAGCATATCCTATACGATTGCTCGATGCTCTCATTAGAAGATTTGTGTTCGGAGAAAAATGGCCGTTTTAAGAGAAGCACCTCTTAGCGACGTTGTCAACTACGTTAAATCTGTAGGGTGGCTCACGAGCTAGGAGTTGCATATCAACTTAGGAGGATCCACATTGGGTCAGTGAGACATAAATGCTGTGTGTTAACCCACCCTCCACACGTTACAGATACAGTACGCGTTTATAGTCCTGATGGCTCCTGCGTCGACTCGTCCGTTCGTAAAACAGTTCGTATTGTAATAAGTCACCTACCGTAATGTAAAATACTAATACAACGTACCTACTTTTATCTTGTGTAGTCTTACACCTTCCTAAAAGGAGACAGAATTGTCACATTATTTCTTGACTGATCTCTAGTCTTCCATTAAGGTTTATGTATATTATTATGATGTAAACCAAGAGATATAAAAAATAAGTATGGATGAATTTAAGAATATTTTTTTTTGTCGTAAATTGTATTCATTTGGTATATACCGTTATTTTGTGGATTGTGGATATACGGATCTTCTTCTGTAACATAAATAAAAAAAAATAAATAAGTAAAAGCTCTTAATAATCAACCAAAATCAAACACAAATTAGTGATGCTGCGAGACGAGAATGAGACAAAATGATATAGAGGCATCACTTGTACGGTAAAATGAGAGAAAATGCTTCTCTTGTCTCGAGGAAAACGTATTTCTTCCAAAAGTGGCATTCTCTCATTAGTCTAGTTTCTCTCGTGACACAGAATACATGAACAACAAAGAAAGTAACTATAGAGTTACAAACAAAACCCTAGTCACCGTATAACCACTTCTTGATGGAGCATTGTCAAGATGAACGTAGTTTTTGCAGTATAGTTTCTATGAATAGTTTATGTTCGCGTGCATTGGTTTCTTCAGAGTATCTCTATGGTGGTACTGAAGATCAGAGATTTTATCCACTCTAATTCTGAGTACCGACCGTTACTTTTCTGTGTTGTTTATTTAATCTGTATTCGTAATAAAAACAGATCTATAGATATGAGACTAGTAAAAATTGTAGTTAGATCGGAAACAGACGAATCACAATGTACGATTGGTATCTGTGCAGTCGTAATGGGGCAAGTCATAGTTTCCTTAGAATAAAATAGTCATGCGACAACGTGCAGTCAACAATAGCAACTTGCTGAATTAAATTGCCAAAATACAACTGCATAGAGCAACCAACAGCAACCGAACCTTGCAGTCCATCTGTTTTCGCCTATAGGGTAATACATAATGAAATATTTTGCGAATTTAATATGATTTCTGTTTATTTCACATCTTGCTCACATTTGAGTTGAAATTATTTTTCCTCTAAAAAAATAATGGTTACCTTATTAAATAATTACTCACCGGATTTTTTAACTTTAAGCTCTTCGGGATTTTTAGTACCTAATATCTTCACCATCTTTATATCTTTCTGTTTTTTTATGGGTAAGATTAGATTCTTGTGTTATTTTTTCTGGTTCAGCATTATTTGGTCCTTTAGTGACTTCATTAGATTGTGTTTATTTAGCAGTAAGTGCTTCCTTAACCTGTTTTTAATTGATTTTTTAATTCTATATTCAAGACTAGGTTCTTCTGTAATTTGTTGTTTAGTATTTGATTCTTTAGTGATTTCTTGGCTTGCATCAGGTTTTCAGTTATGTATTTGTCAACTTCAGGGTCATCAGATTGTGCTTCTTTAGCAGTGAGCAGGTAGGTAAGTTCTTCTTCAACAGGTATTTTAGTAGATTTTTCTGTGATTTCTATTTCAATATTAGGTTTTTTGTGATATTGGGTTCAATTGTATGTTCCTCTATATTTTTCACTTCTCAAATTACAGATTCCTCTGTGATTTCCTCTTTACCTTACGATTTTCTGTATCATCTTTTAATACAATGGGTGTTTAAGTAATTTAGGTTCTTTTGTAGTTTTTATTTCTTCAGGGATGGGGTTTTCACTCTGCTCTTCTTCAACATAAGAATTTTTTGTATTATCTTCTCCGACAATAGGAGTTTTTGTTATAAATCTAGGTTTCTATGTAGTTACAATTTCTTCGATGCTGGATTTTTCTGCATGCTTTTCTTCAATATTACATTTTTCTGTAATCAGTTTTTCAACTTAATTTTGAAAATCAATATTTTATAATGTATGGTTAAAATTTTGATTATTTGGAAATCTGATAATTTTATCATTAGGACATTTTTCATTTTCTTCTTAAACTAGTTTTCAATAAAGTTTGTGATTTTGCATAAGAACCAGAATTACTAATCGTTAGTTTCCTGACAAAATATAATTTTATATATATTGCCAACCGTTATTTATTCGATACAAATTTTCAAAAGCATTGTAAATTTTAATATAAAACCCAAGAAAAGGCATTTATATTTATTTTCATTTCGTAACTGGTGACATAATCATATTTTCGTAAACAGTAATGTTTTATGCAACTGGTTGCATAAAGTAAATCGTTTTGACACTTGCTGCAATTACAGAAGATGTCACTTTATATGTCAAAAGTAGAAAAAAGTAGTTAAATATACTTCCTATTTTTATACACTACAAATTTAGGTATACAGGGTGTTATTGAAATACACGTACATATTAAAACTGGGTATTGCGCAGATCTCCACTGAATGTAGAAAAATATTATTTTTTAAAAATACCCCTTATTAAGGGAGTTATTAATTTTTGAAAATTAATTCTAAAACAAACGTACTTCACTGATATGTTGAGAATGACCTATATAAATTAGGTTTATTTACCTATTTTAAACATCAACAGTAATTAATATGCAAGTTTTTGTCAGATGATAAGAAAACTAGTCTTGTAAGAAATAACCATGTTGCCAAGATTTTCGAATTAATTTCTATTTCCGAAGACTGGTTTTTACTATCCTCGTTATCAAAAAACTAGAATATTTGATAAATTATTGTTTTTAAACTATACATTTTTGAAACTATAGATTATTAAAATTTTAGTTGATTTACGAATCTGGCTAACACGAGCGCGTCATTTCCAAGTTGGTAAAAAGTGTTGTTACGATTACTTTTAAATATTTTTTTTACGATGCCACTATTTACGAATATTGAACTAACGGATATAGTGCTGGTTTATGGGGCAGCTGGAGAAAATTCTCGGCAAGCACAAATCCTGTATCGCGAACGGTTTCCAAATCGGAGAATTCCGGACTGTCGTACGTTTATTTCAACTGTTCAGCATCTAAGAGACCATGGAAAATTTGAGAGTGTCAATGCAGATCGAGGGAGAACAAGAACACAAAGAACATTGGCGGCCGAAGAAGAAATATTGGAAGCTGTTGAAAACCGGCCTCAATTAAGTTGTAGAAGACTAGGTCTTGAAATTGGAGTGTCCTCATTTGTTGTGTGGCGGACACTTAAAGAACAAGGTTTACATCCTTATCACATTCAAAAAGTCCAGGCCTTATATCCAGGTGATGAAGAAAAGAGAGTGGAGTTTTGTGAATGGATGATTCAAAAATGTGTTGATATTCCTGATTTTCTAAAAATATTATTGTATACTGACGAGGCTTCATTCACTCGTGATGGCGTGTTCAATATGCACAATACGCATATTTGGAGTGATGAAAATCCTCACGCCATTAGGGAAACTGGGCATCAAAGAAAATTTTCAATAAATGTTTGGGTTGGCATAATAGATCAGTATTTAATCGGGCCTTATGTTCTCCCGAACAGATTAAATGGGCCAGGATATCTCCACTATTTAGAAGATATTTTGCCAGTACTCCTAGAAGAGATACCGTTACAATTAAGGCAACGGATGTGGTACCTACTAGATGGCGCTCCTCCTCACTTTGATTTAAACGTACGGCAGTTTTTGAACATTAGATTTCCTCAAAAGTGGATAGGCGGAAATGGACCTACTAAGTGGCCTCCGAGATCTCCGGACTTAAATCCATGCGATTTCTTTTTGTGGGGTCACATGAAACAACTGGTTTATAATGAACCTATTAATAGTGTTGAACAATTAACCAATAAAGTTAATGCGGTAGCCGAGGAACTACGACAAAATCCAAGACTAATTTCTAATGTTCAAAGTTCTTTGGAAAGACGATTGCAAGTGTGTGTAAATCATAATGGACGGCATTTTGAACAATTACTGTGATAAACTTTATTTTCAATTAATTGGTTTTGCTACGGCAACAGTGCAATTTCTATGGGTAAGTTCAATTTCGATTTATTTTACTTCTTTAAATATGGAAACTAGTAGGTCGGAAAAGGGGACTCTTCCCCAATATTTAAATTTTAGAATTTGAAGTTAAAATTGGTGCCAATCGTTTTTGGTCATTACATACTATTCCCCATTTTAATATGTACGTGTATTTCAATAACACCCTGTATAAATTCCATATTTTGATATATTTTATTTGTTTAATCGAAATATATCTCCATTTTAGTACAGTGATCAGTTATATAAAAACATGAAATTTTATAAACTAATATATAAAGTAAAGTTATTTGTGAAAACTATTTTAAATGTGTATTTGATATGCCTATTTTTCATTAATCATTTTAAACCAATCAGTGCCAATGAATAGATATAACCTATTTACTTGTAGTTTTAAAATTACAGCGATAAAAATACATTGCAGCTTCCTAAAATATTAATTTCAAATAAATAACATTACAAGTTAAAATAGAAAACATTATTTTATACGAAGCTATCTTTATCTTATTTTAAGGTTAATGTTCAAAGTTTTTAAGTACATGTAACCAATGATTTTTAATTTTTTACCAAACTTAATGTTGGATCTCAAATGTGAAGGTTTTTCACTTTTAAATTTTTTAATTGGTGGATCTTATTGATAAAAATGTTCTAAAAACAGCTTACAAAAGTTGCTTTTTTATGTTTAAGTACGAAACTGGTCTAAGAATTACGTTCTCCTTAGTAATCAAAATAAAAATTAGACTGTTGAAAATATTTTTTTTTATTTTTCTTTCGTTAAAATTCAATGCCTGTTGCGGTATTAGCGAAATGAGAAGTTGTTTTTCGGAGAGAAACATCGTTAGTATTATTGCTTCGATTCAAGAATTTATTTTAACTTTTCATTAATTTACATGTTGGTCATATTTGAGTTGAAATTATTATATTAATTAAAAAAAAATGGTTAATTAAATAAGTTACTCACCGGCTTCTTTGGTGTATTTGGTAATATCTTTACTTACTTTATGTTCTACTATTTTGTTATGGTTCTTCTGTTAGTAAAGTAAAACTACTTAGGCCTCGGTTCGATATTTAATGAGTAGGCAGTGGTCCGATATTTGGCGAGAATGGAGAGTGAAATTTCAACATTAGAGTTTTCGGTTGTTCAATTTTAGGTCTCCCTACATTTTTAACTTCTTCATTTTTAGGTTCATCTGTGATTTCCTATTCATAATTATGATTTTCCGAATTATTTTTTACTAGAATAGGAGTTTTAATGATCTCTTTTACAAACTTAGGTTCTTTTGTAATTTTCATCTCGTCGTTTTGAAGTTGGGCT